CCCGGGTCCGCGCTCGGCTTCGGGCGGTCCTCCCGGGTCTGGGCTCCCGTCTCCTCTGCGCGCCTTGTGCCCCCCAGCCCGCAGACCCGCAGGCTTCTGGAGACCGTGGGTTGACGCCAGAGGCTACAAGGAGGAGGGGGCGCCGCAGCACGCGGCGGAGGCGGTGAGTGAGCCGCGCGCCTCGGGCCGCGCCTCCCCGGAGGGCAGATGAGCTACCCGGACTGGGTATGCCCTGCCCGAGGGAGACACGCGCCCGGCCTGCCCCTCGTTTAAGCTCGCGCCCGTCCGTGGCCCTACCGGAGGTCCTGATGCTGCGAGGGTGTCTCCAGAGCCACGGACGCGCGGATCCGGCCAGGAGCGAGGCTGCGGAGAGCCCCGGGGGTCACATTCCCCGCGGGCGCGAGGAACACTAGACCGCTTTCCACCTTTCTAGAAGGTGAGTGATAACTGTGATTCATCTTCTTTCGTCCCCAGATGCCGGATGGCCCCGGGGTGACCGAAGCCTCAGGAAAGCTTTCCCAGTACAGACACCCAGTCAGGTGAGTGATAGGCCTCACGGAAGGTCTCCCGCTCCTCCAGCCCAGGGTAGAGTCGGGAATCGCAGCGCGTAGCTCCATGGCTGGCCTTGCAGTTCTTCTCTCTGGGAAAATCTGTCTTCACGGATCCCAGAGGCCTTTTACTCAACGAATTGATAAATGTAGTTCACGCTCTCACCTAAAAGAACTATTTTGTTCTTTTAATCAGTGCCCACTCAGTAAACTCTTCAAGAGTATATTATAAAGAGGGAAAGTGGATGGCATCGTGAAAGTCGACCGGTGACATCTCGTGTCTGCAAACCAGTTTTGTGTTGTTTAATGCTAAAGGGTTCGAATGAAATTGACTTCACAGCAGGCAGAGTGTGTATGTTCTTATTCTCTTGCAAACCAGAAGGAAGACTGGTATTCATAGTTGCGATTTTACAGCAAATCGAGCTTGACGTGGAAGAAAAAATGAAGTGTAATGAAAATCCTAAAGATCACGAAGCTTCCTAAGAAGGGTCGAGGTTATTTGACATAACAATGAAGAGCTAGTTTATGGTTCCTAGCCACGGGTTGTCGGCCTTTCTGTAGAAATCTTTGTAGCTTTTATTCAGGTGAAAGGTTCATTCTGCAGTTTGCTTCAGAGAGCTGTGAAATACAGAGCGTATGATATTTGTATGTATATGTTTATAAATAGCTTGTAGAAGTCAATACATGCTGATTAATTTTCTACCTAGTGATGGACACAGGAAAAAAATAATCACACCCCATTGGCAAGTGTTATAATAGTTTAGTTTGGTCCGTATGTAAAGGACATGAAGTACCTAACTCTCCCTGAGGGAGTAGGGAAAGATCTGGGAAGTGTGTATGATAGGATGTGGTTACATAGCTGAGGCTTGAAGTTAGCCAGATGGATGGTAGGTGGAGAAAAAGGGGACAGAAGAAAGCATAGAGGGGATACAGAGTCATAGAACAACATGGCTCCCTATGGGAGCCTCAAGGAGCTGGAATTTGGGTGCATGAAGCTGTGGTCATTCTAGTAGGTAAGCCATAAGCCGGATCTTGTACACCTTGGTATAGAGTTTTGTTCTATTCCTGTATGTGGCATTGGAAACCCATGACCTTTATTCTGTGGATGGTATTGGGGGTTACTCAAAGGTAGTGTGATCAGATTTATGTTTCAGAAAAAGCACTAAGAAAATGGTATATAGGCTTAGTTAGAAAACTAAATGAAATTGGAAGTTACTGTAATTCAGGCAATATATGACAAAGAGCCATTCTAAGGTATTGGAAGTGTGGATGGGACTGGGTGAATTTGGGGAATGCTTAGATGACATAATAGATTAGGCTTATAATGTATTGTATATGGCAGGTAAAGAGGAGGTAAAAAGACAGAATGGCTTCCAAGTTTGTGGCAGATGACCAGATGAATGCTGTATAAACAGAGTGGAAATTAGGGCTTAAAACAGATTTGGGGAACAAGATAACGAGTCCAATTTTTCATTTATTGTATTTAATGTGCCTAGGGAGTATCCAAATGCATATGTCTAGTAAAGAGCTGCGCGTGCACACACACACACACTCACACACACACACACACAGGTAAGGGGCCCAGAGTCAAGATCTTAAGTGGAAATACAGACAATTGGGAGTCTTCAGTAAATGAACAGCTGAAGAAATCATGTCAGTGGATCAGGTCTTCCAGAAGAATGAGAGAGGAGAGATGATCACTCTTGATAAAACACTGGGGAAGGCCAATACCAACCTGTATACAGAGAAAAAGAGGTCCACAAAGGAGACCGAGAAGAATCACTCAGGACAGGGGAGAATTCAGGAAAGTATGAAGTCCCTGAAAGGAAAGTGGTCAGTCAGAGATTCTGGGCAGAGTGTGGTAACAATTAAACAACATTCTTTGGATCTGACAGTTCTAGTTAAGCATTGGAAAATCATCTGTTTCCTGTATAAGAAATCCCTTTCTTTTCTGAACTACTGTAGCCATTTATTTGTACTACTTTTAAGTTTATTTTATTTTTATTAATTTCTGTCTTGAATACTGTTATTTCTTGAGGATAGAGACTAAGATTTTTTCATCTTTGTATTATGAATTACATCTGGCATGAGATCACTAAAATATTTATTGAATGACTGAATTATTGATGGTTGCTTATTAAAGGCACCAAAATTAAAACTTTTTTTGTCATTTGGCTAGAAACATTTATAAACTATATTGCCTACTTTTCTGCCTTTTAAAATTGAGTATACTGAATATAATGTAACCTTCTCTTTGTTAGAAGCACTCTGTTATAAATGGGTACATGGGGCTAACTACCCTACACTAAAATGACTGCACTGTTGTTGGTGAGTCAGCCATATCCTTCTTCTTTTCTTTTCTTTGGAGGAAAATAATAGAAGACCAGATGGCAAGATTAATATTTGTCAAAAATTTGAAATTCTGAGGTAATTGGGTTACATGTAAGTTGTGAAAAGCCAGCATTATTCTCAATATCCCAATATGGTATTTCCAATTTTGTTGGATGGGGAAATGGGAGGGAGATGGGATCAAGGTTGGGGTCAGAGGAAGCCTTCCTATAGCCCTGGTGTGAGTGCATAGAAAAACTTCAAAATATTGCTTTTTGTACTCTTCTAAACTTACATTGTTAGCTACATCTGTAACTAACAGTTAAGCAAGATATTAGGTGATTTCTGCTTTTCTGGAAGGTGCATAATATATTGTTGTCTTTATAAAACTGGGTTTCAGAATTTTTAATGTAATGGTAGGATTCATTTTCCCCCCAAAGGAATTTGGAAATTGGAAGACAAACCATCTGTATATTGTGAGAATAAATATATTCATAATACCTAAAGTGATCTAAATATTTATCACACAGGGTTTTGTGTGAATTTGTTTGATCCAATTTACAGCTTGGATAAAGACTTAAAATGATTAACTAGTTATTGATACTTTGGCAAGTAGACTCCCATGACACCTGAGATAATAGCATTTTTAGACTATCTAAAGGCATACATCAATTGTTAAGTATGTGGAGCTCTTAGCATTTGAACATTTCATGAATATAAGGATTCTGAATGTGAAAAAAATAAAGCCTATTATGTTGTCTGCTTCTTTCAGACTATTTTGGCCAAAATCAAAGTGTTATGATTACTTATATCAAGAAGCAGAAGCTCTTCTGAAAAATTTTCCAATTCAAGCCACAATTTCATTTTATGAAGATTCTGATAGTGAAGATGATATTGAGGAGCTGATCTGTGAAAATTAACCTGATTAGTTACTTGTGTGACATTCAAAGCTTATAGGATTTAAATTTAGTGTACAAATGTATCATAATCCTTCATACTAATTTATTTGTATATAAATTATTAATAAAATGAAATATTTTGTAATTCTATAGTAGTTTGGCTTTTTTTACCCCTATGCTATAATTCAGTATTGGAATTTAAAAATAAGTGCCATTTACGGATGTCTTGATTGGACTGTAAACATTTGGGGCTTACAAAAGATACTTTTGATCTCTTCATCAAATTACAAATTTAATTTTAGTTATAATTTTGCAAATATTTAGCTAAAACTTTGCAAAGAATGACAATATTTAATTTTCAAGACTGAATCTTGTAACATCTGGTATTTCCTACTGATCTCCATTAGGTATTGTGTTGCTGATGAATATTTTTAGATAATGAAAAAAATCACCTTATGCTACCAATCACACAATATTATGTGTTTGCTAGCAGATTGTGAAAAACACTTTAAATCATTGTCCATAATTGAGAATGTCAATTAATGCCATGGCTATTAAATTTTAGGGATTTTTAATCAATGATGAATCAAGATCACTTTAATACTCCTCTGCTGCCCTTAAATCTAGTAGTAAAATAGCATTTGTGTTCAATAATTAGAGCACTTCATTGAGGGATCCCCAGAATTTAAAAAGAAATGTTTAAGTGAGCACGACTTATATGGAGTCTAAAAAAGGAGAGCCAAAAGGCTAGAATTTGATCTTTTTCTATTTCTGTCTAAGGGGGAGCTAAGACATTTGGCAGATATGAAACATTCTTCAACAGCATCACCTTCCTTTGTTCTGGCTCCTTGCTCCTGATATTGTCATGTACAGATTTTCTCATGGGAAGTGAAATAAGAAATTCTCTGATTAGTTTTTTAAAATGTAGACTTATAGAAGAATACATCACCATTTAATGACAGAGAAAAACAGGAGCACATTGCAAGGTAGAGGTAACCTACACTATGGTCATGAGGTTCTTTAGCTTAATGCAGTCTCCCAATAAGCATTTTCATTGCAAATGTTTCTTAGTATCCCAGAATCATGATGGGTAGAGGTGAAGGTCAGAGATGGTTACCTGGCTAAGAAATGCCTCTTACTTGAATGGCTACATAGATCACACGCTTTTCCTTCTAATTGAAAGGATACTACAAACATTGATTTACAGGCACTTTAAAGACAAGGCAGTTGAAACAGAGCAAGTTTAAATCATGTGTCAGAGTCAGGAAAAGTTAGTAATGGCAGGTGGACAGGGAGAGTTATTTAGAACTGTATTTCTTCTGAAAACTTTCCCTTCACTGGATTCTACACTCATGATGTGTGTGTTCCCCAAGGGCTATGCAAAAAACCCACCAGGTCACCAATCTGGACCTTGATCATTAGGGACTTGTTTTTAGCTGCACAGTATTTGAGCTTCTTTCAATATGTCGGAATAGTATGACAAGCCACTGCCATTTTTTGGGTGCCTACTATTAACCAGGCACTGTACTAGGTAGTTTACATATGACATCTCATTTAATTCTTACTGAAACCTAAATCCATTAGGCAGAGGGGGAAAATGAGACTTTGAGATACTGAAATAACTTGTGTAAGTCTGCTCATTTATTAAATGCAGAGATGGCATTCAAACTAAACCTATCTGACAAACATAACTCTTCGTCACTACATCTGGGGATGGGCTGTATCTGTACACAATTCCCTGTAGCTTTCAGCAAAGACAAGAAGTTAGATGAGGAGGGAGAACTTGTGAGTGGGTGAATGGAGCAGGAGACTTTACTAGCTTCTTTGACTCGTTTGTCATTAGCGGGGGTTCTTAAAGGTGAAGCTTCACCTCATAAGAGTGGCTGTGGCTGTTTGCATTTGACGCCCTAACACTTAAAAGTTCTCTTTCCTGTACAGCCGGGTGCTTTAGAGGAGAGAGTTTCAGAGAAATCAAAATGCTTTGATAGTATTATTTTATTCCATATTTCAAGCCGTGTGAAGGTGGGGCATAACAACAGACACTTGTGTTCTGGGTTAAGAGGGGTCTAAAAGAATTTATGCTCAGATTCTGTCAGCACCACGGCTAAGGAACAGCTTCACTCTGTCTTTAATCCTAACCCGGAATAGCTGTCACCTCACTGCGGTGCTGAAATTCAGGGTGCAGGGCTAATGCAGCACGCGTACTTGGGTCTGGTTCCTCCCCTCCGGCGCTGCGTTCGTCCCGTTGGCTCCGCCCCCCGCGGCCTCGACGTGCTGCGTCATGGCGCGCCTCACCCTCGGCGACCCCGGAAGTGGGTCGGGGGCTTGGCCTCTGCCCGGCCTCGGAGCCGGAGCGGGAGGTGTTACCCTGGACGGGTAGAGCTGAGCGATCCTGTCCGGCGGCGGACCCCGGGCAGGGCCCGGGCCAGGGGTCCAGGATGCTGAACGTCCCTTCCCAGTCTTTCCCGGCCCCCAGCTCGCAGCAGCGCGTCGCCTCCGGGGGGCGTAGCAAGGTAAGTGGATGACACCGTGCGTCTTGTTCAGCTCGCCTCCCGCCGGCGTTCCGTTCTACCGAACAGTCCATTCTCTCTTTCGGCCCCCTCTTCCACCCTGTCCTCATCTCTAGCCTTCGTTCCTCCTGCCCTAGCTAGCGATCTCTTTCCCCGGCCGTTTGCAGTCCTCTCTCTCACCTACTAGCCCCTCCCCCCTCATCCTCTTTTCCCGTTCTGGGAAGTCTTTTCCCGCGAATTAAATTGAGTTGTATATGACAGGGCCAGCACCGTGCTTTTGCCGTTATCATAGATACTCAGTATTAGCTTCCTTCCCTCAGTCTCTACTCGTCTCCGGTCTTTTGTTCTGCACTTTCCGGAAGGAGTTGTGAGTGATGTGGGTTCCCTAGGAGAAGGGAAAGGTTGGGCAGTAGCGACACTGACCGGTGACCATCCTCCAAAGGTGGGGACTCCCAGAGCTAGGGAAGATGGGGGGGAGCGAGAACAAATGTCTACAATCCTCCGGTGGGTTTACGGACACTTCTCTAAGTCATACTGGCTTTCTTCCTCTGGTACCTGTTTTATCACACTGTCTTTTCTATTGACGTCACTTGCTGACTTTGAAGCTAATATAATACTCTCACTTTTTGTTGAACATAGTTACTGTTAGCAACAGGTGGAATACAAATGTATTTTATATTTATAAAATTTAATAAAATTGTCTCCTGTGCAGTTATTCGTTAGTTCCTCATTCTGTAAGTTCATCTTCATATTTTGTTCAGGTTTTGTTTTTGAAACTTCCACCTACTTGGACCACTCCGCCCAAACCCCCATTTCTGGACTCTTGGGTCTTAGCATGATTTAGGATCTTCACTGACTTTTTCTCTCCACTTAAACTTGAAGTTGACTCTAGATCAGAATTATGGATTCAGGGATCTGTAGCTTTCATTAGCTTTTCAGAAGTCTGTAACTCCAGCTATAATAATAAAGCTGAGATTTATTCGGTGCTTACGGTATGTATGTATGTTAGTGTTCTGAATGCTTCATGTGTAGTGTATTAACTCATTTAATCTTTACAGTAATCCCACAAAGTGGTTGCTTTTGTTATCTCTATATCACAGAAAAGAAAACTGGTTAAGAAATGTTGCTTTGGACCCTAAAAGTTTGATGTGATGTGACTCTGGCTGTGATATTTCATTTATTGCTCCATAGCTCCATATATCATCCAGTCATCTAATCATCTGTCCCCTCCTTCTTGATGTTTGACCTTTTCTGTCCTTGAACTAAATGCTTGGCTAAATAGTATAGTCTTTCTGGAGAAAGAATCTCTGAATTAAAATATAAGAGTTGCTGGCCTTCTGTACTAAAACTACAAACCACGTTCTCAGCATCCTTTTAAAGGAGAAAGCTCAGGGGCGCCTGGGTGGCTCAGTCGTTAAGCGTCTGCCTTCAGCTCAGGTCATGATCCCAAGGTCCTGGGATCGAGCCCCGCATCAGGCTCCCTGCTTCGCGGGAAGCCTGCTTCTCCCTCTCCCACTCCCCCTGCTTGTGTACCCTCTCTTGCTGTGTCTCTCTCTGTCAAATAAATAAATAAAATCTTTTTTTAAAAAAAAAAGGAGAAAGCTCAGAGGCAAAGACAAAGGTCCACAGGCGGTGATGGCAAAGGTGAGTCTTCGGGTCCAAACAGAGAACAAAATATAGTTATTGCACAATTCAAAGGGAAACTGAGACTTTCCCCCCCGCCTTTATGAAATGAGGTAATCTTGCACGTATCAGAACCTGATTCAGGATTGTATGAAATGGGTAGAGGTTGAAAAAATAGAAGCTAGTTGGGGAGGTTATATATCATAATAGTTAAAAGCATAGACTTTTGAGTGAGAAAGACCCAGATTCTTTTCTCAACTCCTATGACTAAGTCTCTGAGTCTCAGTTTTCTCAGGTGTAAAAGAGAATAACAGTACCCATTTTATAGGGCCATTCACAGGATTAAATGAGATAATGTTTCTCTTAGCACAGTCTTGGTATGTGGTAAGCACTCATGTGTTACTTGCCCTTAGACTTTTATTCGGATTCCATGGATTGTTGTGTGATTGTTGTGTAAAGTCCTGAGCACAGTGTCTGGTGCAGAGTATGCATTCTATATATGATAGCTACTATTATTTCTACTAATACTAGTAAGTAAATATTTTTTGAGAACCTCCCATATGCTGAAGATATGGTCTCTGTTTCCAAGGAGTTTAGTCTAATAGGCTGCACACACTAATAAATAGTTATAAATGTGGTAAGTGCTATAACTGTGTGTTATGACCACAGAGGGGTTGGGGTCAGAGAAGGCTTCTGGAGGAGGTAGTGTCTGTGAGAGAGAGAGGGAGGGAATTGGGCCAGGCCAAGGAGGAGGTATTTCATAGCAGTCAAGGAATCAGTTCCCATTTAGCTAAAGCATTTAATAGGAAGCAGCAAAAATTAAAACTCAGAGCTAGTGAGGTAAACTATGACCAGATATAAAGGGCCTGGTAAACCACTCTAGGGAATTTAGAGACATTATTATAAGATAGTGTGGGGGGCGCCCGGGTGGCTCAGTCGGTTAAGCGGCTGCCTTTGGCTCAGGTCATGGTCCCGGGGTCCTGGGATCCAGCCCTGCATCGGGGTCCCTGCTCAGCGGGGAGTCTGCTTCTCCCTCTCCCTCCTCCCCTGCTTGTGCTCTCTCTCTCTCTCACTCACTCTCTCTCTCTCAAATAAATAAATAAAAATCTTTAAAAAAAAATAGTGTGGGGAGCCACTGAAGGAGGGAGGGCCCATGGTTAGATTTGAGTTTTCAGAAGATTATGCATTAACTACCCAGTGGATTATGGAATCCACATAAATAAGAGAGATGAATGATTTTGGTTTGGGATGGGAATGATCATATTCTCGTGCTTTACTTCATTTATTGGGACCAAGAGACCTAGAGAGTTTCAGGGATGGTAAGAATGGGATGATGTAACTGGTAGGAAGGAATGTGAAATTGCAGTGATACCACAGACCTATTAACTTGGTTATTTTGGGGGTAAATGAATGCCTACAATAGACAAGATTCCAGAAAGTGAGGTATATAAATATCTTAGTCTATTCAGTCTGCTATAACAGAGTACCGTTTGGACAGTAGCTCAATCCCTTTACCAGATGTTCTTTGCAGGGTAGGCAGACTTTTCTGCAAAGGCCCAGATAATGAGGATGTGGGGAAAAATGGCTGAAAGGATGAGGGAGCTCTTTGAGGCCTTTTTAATGAGAGCTTTAGTAGCATTCATGAAGGCTCTACCTTTATGATTTAATCACCTACCAAAGACCTTACTTCCTAATACCATCGCATTGGAGGTTAGGATTTCAACTTGAATTTTGGAGGGGCACAAACATTCAGTCTGTAGCAATATATTTCTTTGAACGTGCCCTCTTTTACATTAAACATTCCTCTGGTACTATATTACAAACTAGTTATACAAGTTTAGACAGTAGCTCAATCCCTTTACCAGATCTTCTTTGCAGGGGTAGGCAGACTTTCTGCAAAGGGCCAGATAATAAATATTTTTGGCTTTGAGGGCCACATGACAATTGAGTCTCTTCACCACCACCAGCACCACGATGTGTGAAAATGATTCTAAGCTCCAGGGTGATACAGAAACAGGCATGGGCCAGTTTGCCAAACCCTTCCCTAGAGTGTTAGAGTTTTTTTTATTTTCCATTATTTGAGAACTTTTGTTTCTTAGTGAATTCTTAGAAAACAGATTGCTGCCTTGTGATTTCTAATGTTCTGTGTATATTGACAATCCAGAAAATCAACTTTAGCTGGCCATTTATATTTTCTTCTATTCAATCTCTTGTGATTTTTAAGGGAAAGAAATTTTGGTCCAAGTTGGTAAGTGACTCCAACATATTAGTGACAGAGCAGAGCCAGGACCAAAATTTGTTTTCTGCCTCCAGATTCAATACTGTTCTTGTTTTATTAGATACCATTATGGTGAACATTTATGTGACAGAATTTCTAAGCCCTACCTCATAGTTCATGTATTTTATATTGTTCTATTTATAATTCTAATACAGCAGAGATGATTTTGACAACCACCTAAAGCTGTAAAAAAAAAAAATCGTAGAATTGTTAGATTTGAGTTTTCTTCTCTTTTTGAAAGAGTAAGAGTAGTGTGCAGCCTGCAGAGAAGCAGCAGGTGGGGCAGGGAGAAGCAGCTGACTCAAAGAAGCCACATTGAATTCTCTGTTCCTTTTTTAGGTCCCTCTAAAACAGGGCAGAAGTCTTATGGATTGGATTCGCCTCACCAAAAGTGGCAAGGATCTAACGGGATTAAGAGGCAGGTTAATTGAAGTAACTGAAGAAGAACTTAAAAAACACAACAAAAAAGACGATTGTTGGATATGCATAAGAGGTACGTGGTATTTATTACGTACTGCAAAAAGTTTTGGCTGGGCTTTCCAGTTGTAATGTCATATGACCTCATGGTCCTGTTATTTGGTGATATGATTCACAAGTAGATAACAAAAATATGCCTTATGCTGGACTACAAAGTATATAATTCTGAATTTCAACAGTATTTCTTTCTTAGGTAACTGTTTACATAGCATACCCACACTGTACTCCCTTAGAAAGAAAGCAAGTGTTTGCTGGGTGGTTATTCAGTAACACTCTAGCTTATATATAATCATGTCCCACCTTAGTGCCTTATAACAGAATCGCTTTGAATGGGAGAAATTGTTCTGCCAGAAAAAATGTCTCTGAGAACCGAAAGTAAATCAGAAAGCCTGTGTTTAAGCCAAATCTTAAGTTCTCACATGAAGCAATTTTTATTAATGTAAATTTCTTAGCAATATTAATGACCTGATTTTTGTAGCCCATAGCAAATTAGAAGCGCCAAACTAGAAATGAGTGGGTTGGAGAGAGTGAGCAGAGATACAGGAGAGTGGCTGATAAAAGCAGACCTCATGGTAATCAACAACCTTGCATCTCAGAGGGGAACGAAAGCAGTAAAGGGCATGGGAATGTACAGTGGGCTTCCGGAGCAATGTCATTGAGCCATCCAGACATGGTTAAATATGCCCACTATCTTTAAAGTGTCGGCTTGTTAGTCATTGTTGTTACACAATTGTAATTTTATCATTGTATAGTTACGGTATATTGTCAGTTATCCTGATTACACTGTGACCTGTATGAGGGCAGAGACCATGTCGTGTCAGTCATACTGTTCTGTCCTTGGTGCCTGGCACATAGACATCATCAATATGTGTTTTTTATTGAATGAATTCGCTTAACATTTTTAAAAAGTTGTTACTTAAAGAGCTGTGTGGTTATCATAGTAGATTGGTGATGTGATAAATGGAAAGATACCAGTTTGCTACGGATGCCCAAACAAAATAGCACAAACTAGGTGGCTTAAACTACAGATAATTATTGTCCCACCATTCTGGAGGTTGAAGTCTGAGATCAAGGTGCCTTTTTCATAAGGCTGTGAAAAAGAAAAATGTCTGTGTCTCTCACCTAGCTTCTGCTGGTTTGCTACCAATCTTTGAAGTTGCTTGGCTTGTAGAAGCATCACCCCAGTCTCACTTCAGCTTCACATTGCATTCTCCCTGTGTACTTGTTTGGGTCCAAATTTCCTATTTTTACAAGGACCCCAGTCATATTAGATTAGGACCCTACCTACTCTAGAATGACCTCATCTAATTATATCTGCATTGACCCTATATCCAAATAGGTCATGTTCTGAAGTATTGGTGGGTAGGACTTCAACATATGAATTTGGGGGTTATGCAGTTCAACCCATAACAGACACAGTTAGAGTTTGAAATTTTTTTCAGTGGCAAAGGGGGTGGACTCTTCAGCAGGTGATGACATAGCTTGTTCTGAGACAGAACAGCTGCTCAACTCCCCAAAGTTTCTCAGGGAAATACAGCTGTGGATAGTACCCATAAGCTGGAATGAGGATTCTGCTAGATGCAAAAAACTCCTTTTGCCATTTTATTTATTTTTAAAAAATTTTTAAAAATTTATTTATTTGAGAGAAAGAGCGAGAGCGCGCATGCGTGTGCACGGGGGGGAGGGGCAGAGGGAGAGGGAAAGAGACAGACTCACCGCTGAGCGTGGAGCCTGACATGGGGTGCCATCTCATGACCCTGAGATCCTGACCTGAGCCAAAATCCAGAGTTGGCCACTTAACTGACTGAGCCACCCAGGCGCCCCTCCTTTTGCCATTCTATAGGGTTTTGAATACCCTCCTTGCTCTTTGTCCATGCTGCCCACCTGTTTTACCAGGTGTAAGTATAATGACCGCCACACTCTGCCTGAGTGTTTTCTGCTAGACTGGGTGAAGTGGAGGTCAGTGTGCAGGAGAATCTCTCAGCTGGTCCAGGCTGTAGGCGTGTGAGTTCTGTTTCTACAGCCACTTCTCCAGAAAACTCACTTATGTGAACCCTTTGTGTCTTAGTTATGTTAGATCAATGAGGCATTAATATAACACATTCACACTTCCTTATTCATTTGGTGTATTGATGGAGATAAGGGACTAGTGTGCTATGTTTCAAAAGTAATATGTACACTGCTCCCAGTTATATATCTCCTATAAGGATTGAATGCATGGCACCTCTTTCTGGTAAGGTTGTCGATTTAAGGATAAATTTGTTTAAAGTCTCTGTTACTCTCTTAGTAATAAGGCTTTTTTCCCCTTTGCAAAAAGTTAAGTGTGTCTTTTTTTTTTCCCTTTTTGACGAGTTCAGTTTTTATTATCAAGAGCACTCAATTTAGGTGGTGCTCTTTGAGCTTCCCCTCTAGTAGGAGATGATAAATGACTGACAGGTGGACACGTCTGAGTGAAGTGCCATAAGAAACTATAAAGAAAGTGACATCAGATTGGAGGGAGGGAGACATGTGGGTTAGAAAAATCAGGGACACTGTTGTGGTAGTGATAGCTTAGAAGCTGAGGACAGGTTTTCTTTCTTTCTTTTTTTTTTTTT